ACACACACGCACATGCACACACACACATGCATGCACACAGGCACACACACATGCACGCACATGCACACACGCGTGCACACACATGCACACATGCACACGCGCATGCACATGCACACACGCACACATGCACACACACACGCACACATGCACACACACATGCACACGCACACATACACACATGCACACACACACATGCATGCACACAGGCACACACACATGCACGCACACGCACACACACGCGCACACACATGTACACATGCACACGCACACACATGCACACGCACACACACACAGCGTGCTATGGCCTCTTGGGCCCAGATTGCTACTATGTTCTCTTCACTCCCAGCTACACTTCTTAAGAAAAGAACGGGCACAAGCAAGCTGTCAACATCAGATTGTATTTCCCCTAAAGAATGAAGACAGAGTGTCCAAATTCCACATAGTAAGCCTCCCGTGGATGCGTATACTCTGGGTTCAGTTATGATATGACCACTTGGGGCCATGGATTTAAAGAAACATTTTTAAGAAATCTGCTCAATACAGAGAAAGGGTTGGGGGGGGAGAGGGAGCACAAGGGAGGAAAAATACTTAATGCACTCAGGTGATCCGTGAAAAATTGTGATGAGGAGAAAGCTTCTTTGATTCTGGAGGCATTCCAGCTCCAGTATTATCCCCTGTGTGCAGAATAACTAATAGAGCAACAACAACAAAAAATTTATCTGAAGTAAAAAAAAGAGATATCTATACAATGTCAAGACACCTTATAGGTTGAACCCGCCCCCCCTCCAAAATGAGCAGAGAATAAACCCAAAATTCACAGAAGGAAATAGACAAAGTACAACCGATGGAGAGAATGTCAAAATATAAAATGGTAAAAGACTGTAACAAATACTATTAAATGCAGAATTTATGGAATCAGAAAACCAGGTTTTGAATCTTAGATGTACCAAATATTAGTTATTTGAACTTGGAGAGTCAACAACTATTCTAAATGTTAATACTCTCCCCCATATACTGGGGATAGTGGTGTCCATCCTCCTAAGCTGGTCGACAGACTCAGTCAACACATGTAAAAACCTTAGCATAATTCCTTTCTGTTAGTAAATGAACAGTTATCACTGGTGATAAGATGAAGGTGGTTTTTGGCTACTGTCTCTCAAAAAAAAAAAAAAAAGGGGGGTCCTTAAAAAAAAAANTTCAGTTTCTTCTCATCTCTCTTAGTTATCCCAGACTGGCACCTCTCTAGTCTGATATTCACATTGATTCAGACAGATTTTTCTGTATTATAAAAAGATCATCCAAATCCCAGACTTAGAATCCCCCTTGATTCCCCACTGGAGGATGAATCTAAAATTGCACAGCTTCAAACATGAGGCTGGACTGTCTGTGATGAGCCTGCAAGCTTGACCTTCACACTGCCTTGCACCTGCCCACACAGATCTCCTGAATTTGAACTTGACTTCAGATTCACCAGACTCCAGAGCTTCAGTGCTCAGTGCATTCATACACTCACTTCCATTTACTGAGTCTCATCCCCTGGTCTATTATAAAAAAATTCACCTCTTTTCCATCTGAAAAACCTCACTTGACTCCTTGGAGGCATCTCCTTCATGAATACTTTTTTTTTTTTTTAACATTCCCTTGTTTAAATGACACTTCCTCCCTACACTTAATTTAGATATGGGGACTATAATGGCGTTAATGTTACTTATTTCCTTATGTTTTTTTTCCTGCTAGACCAAGTTCCAAGGTGCATGTAGCAATGTTGTTCATACTCCTTCTCACTCCTGAGCAAATTAATTGGGAAGAGGGGCTGAATAAATTTTTATTATATGAATGAATGAGACAATGTGGCCTCACAGTAATTTCTGATGATGAGAGAAAGAAAAGAAGCAGAGAGATGCTAAGTAGGTGTGGAGGACACACCAGT